TCTGAGGCATACTTCCCCAGTTGTAAATTACCATGCACCTGGCAAGCCCCAAGCAAGGTGCGCCAAACAAGAGCATCAACATTCAAGGGCAGTGATTTGATAAACTGAACAGCCTTTTCAAGAGAGCCTGATCGGCCTAACAAATCAACCATGCATGCATAATGTTCCATCCTTGGAGTTATCCCGTGATCTATTGACATTGAGTCAAAATATTTCCATCCCTCATCAACTAAACCAACATGGCTACAAGCTGATAAAACAGCAATGTATGTGACTTCATTTGGTTTTATACCATCCTCAAGCATTTGATTGAACAATTCCACGGCTCTGTGGGCAAATCCATGTTTTGCAAAACCTGTTATAATTGAAGTCCAAGATATTACATTTCTATCTTCCATTCCTTCAAAAACTTGAAAAGCAGCCTCTATATTACCGCATCTAGAATACATAGATATCAAAGCATTGGAGACAGATTGGTTGGACTGGATCCCTGCTTTTAAGACCCGAGCATGGATCTGCTCTCCCTTTCCAACTGCACCTACACTTGCAGCTCCACTCAATAAACTAGCAAACGTGAAAGTATCAACCCCAACTTCAGAGTCTAAATGGCTGAAAAGTTCAAAAGCTTCTGCAGAATCCAAATTCTTTGAATATCCGTCAACTATTATGTTATAAGAAACTAAATTCTTCTCAAACAGAAGTTCGAAAGCTTTTCGGGCTTCTTCCATCCTACCAGACTTGGCATACATGCTAATTAGAGAGTTGGCTACACAGTTCACAGATGCAAGACCCAATTTCACTGCATGATTATAGATCTGTTCGCCCATAGCAGGATTCGAAATATTTCCACATGCCTTTAAAAGACTAGAAAATGTAAAATGGTTTGGTTTAACTGGACTATCTATCATCCTACAGTACAATTTAATAGCTTCCATATCGTAGTGACCGCTTTGCACATATCCAGTTATAATAGCAGTCCAAGACATGACATTATGATCAGCCATCCGATCAAAAACCTTTCTTGAATCATCCATGGATCCATCCATCGTACTTTTTGCATACATGTCCACCAAACTGCACCCGACACAAACATCTGCAGACAACCTAGACTTAATCACCCGACCATGCAGTTGCCTCCCAAGCAAAGACAACCCTGGCTCAGCACAAGCTGATAAAACACCACTAAACGTAAACCTATCAGGGACAAATCCTTCAGAAACCATTTCCAAGAACAGTCTAACAGCATCCCTTGAAGCACCAAGTTGTGAAAATCTAGTAATCATCAAAGTCCAAGTAACAAGATTCCTCTCAGGCATTCTATCGAACACTTTCTTAGCTGACCTCAAATCACTAAACCCTTTAGCAAACAAATCAATCAGTGCACACCCAACACAAATATCCGACTCAAAATACCCAGTTTTAATCACAAACCCAAATATCGCCAACCCAACCCACCCCAACTCCGCACTACAACATGCCTGAATCACCGCAGAGAAGCAGAACTGATTCGGGTACTCCCCAAACTCCACCATATCAAAGAAAGTAAACACGGATTCCAACTCCATACCACAATGAGCATAGCACGAAATCATTGCACTCCAAGAAACCAAATCCCGCTTCTCACCCATGCTCTCGAAAATCTTTTCAGCAGTATCCCAACTGCCCATTTTAGAATATAAACTTATCAACGAGTTAAGAAGAATGGTGTCCGGTTCGAGTGGCGAATCGTTGAGTTTAGAGTGTAGAAGTTTCCCAATTTGGAAATTTCGGGTCCTGATGCAAGATTTGAGGAGAACTGTATAGGAGGTGAGGTCAGGGGTAAAACCCATTTGAGAAATGTGATCAAGCGTCGAGATTGCTTGCTTAAGATTTCCAACATTGGCTTGTCGAATCAAAGTATCCTTCAGAGCTTCGAAATCAGGGTTCCTAATTCGACGGGATTTGAGGTTTTTTGGATTTGGGAGAAGGAGGGATGAATTTGGCGGGAGAGGGAAGAGAGAGAGTTATCATTATCTATAACGGTATTCTCGCTTCTGTGGTTCCCATATTGGACATTTATAAGACATCTCCGAACTCGATGTTACTCTCTATTTTCTATATATATATATACAGTAAAATTGAGAATATTTCTCCAACTGCAATCAATTTTATTCTCTATTCTCCTATATTCATACTTTCTATTTCACTTTTTTGATTATTTTATTACTAGTAAAAATACCCGTACTTCGCGCGCGAATTTAATATCACGAAATTTATAAAATAATACTAAAAACATATCAGTCATTAAAACTAAAACACTATATTATTTTACATACAAGATTACGTAGTAACGAACATTAATAATGTACAGGAAAATAAAAATTATAACATCTTATCACTTATCCTTAATAATATAAGAACAAATTTATGACTGTAAAAAAATACCAGGATCTGTAACATAATCAATGGTGTCAGTGAGCAACTCAACAGGAGCAAAGTACACGAATATTTAATTGTGCAGAAAAAGAATAAGAAGTTCAGAATTTTTGTTGTTTTAAAATGAGAGGAAATCCATCTATATATAGACAATAAATGGTAGTGTGAACAAATATTTGTTGTGCCTAATCGGAAAGGTCACAACTATTTGGAAAAGTTGCAACCCTTCAGAAAGGTTACAACATTTCATAAAAGTCACAATTTTTCATAAAAGTCGCAACTCTTCGTTGATATCGTAACTTTTCATAAAAGTCACAACTTTTCATAAAAGTCACAACTTTTCATAAAACTTACAACTTTTCATAAAAGTCACAACTTTTTATATAAGTCACAACTTTTCATGAAAGGAAAGACTAGTTTTGAAAATAAAGAAATAAAAATAGAATCCTGATTTCTGATGGAGCCACGTAGGCGGGCCTAAGATTCTCTTATATATATATATATATGATTATTTATATTATATAATATTTGCTCCAACTGCAATCTATTTTATTCTCTATTCTTTGGTATTCATACTCTCTATTTCACTTTTTTGATTATTTTATTATTATTTATATTATATAATATCTGTAATTAACATATTATAAATTATATAAGACTATTAATTAAATTATAATATGCGTTGTTATTTTTTAATGTAATATAATATTTTAAAAAATATATTATTTAATATATACCACTTTCAACCATAATTAATGATATTTTAATTTTTAAAATTTTCTTCAATTTAGATATATAATTTAAAATTATTACTATTTTTCATTATAAATAATGCACAAAAATTAAATGATAAGAATCTAAAAGTACAAATACATAACATAATAATTAATGCATTTATGGGAGCAATGTAATAAACTTAAAAAATGAGTATTTATATAATGTTTATATATTGATTTCACTTTTATTTTAATTGTCCATTAGTATGTATAATATATAATATTACTTGTAATTTATGTTATTTAGAAATTTAGAATAAAATATAATTTTATATTAAATAATAAAATTGAAAAGAAAATATTTTTATATTACATGAAGATTATTTAGCGTGATTATTTGAAAAATAGAAGAAAGAGTTTATATTATGAAATAAGAAAAATAAAATGAAATAGAAATAATAATATGATATTGAGGAGAGAGAGAAAATATATTCCCTTTTAGAGAGTAAAATAGAGAATTTGGTTGAAGTTAATTGTCTCCAAATATAAAGATATTCGCATTTCGAGAATAAAATAGAAAATAGGATTAGAGTTAGATGGTATCCGTATTAAAATTCAACTAATTCATGTTTACACCACGTAGGAGTGTAACGCCCTAATTGCTAGAAGTCTCCTACCAAGATTTTTTTTAATAGTTACACCTACTGCATCACATTACACATATCCTTGTATACACCTAGCTTCCTTCCATAAAACGAAAAAAAAGGGCAAATGCAAAGAGCTCCTTCTTCTTTTTATTAATAAATACCACATATTCATTAATACCACTTAACCATAATTGGGGAAAACAAGCTAAAAAAAAAAAAAAAAAAAAGACAATGGCAACACCTTCTTTTTCCTTTGGCTCAACACTAGTCTTATGTGTAATTTTTGCTTCCTTAATAGCACTAACTACTAGTAACTCCTTGGCTGATTTGTGCATCAAATGCCAGAGTCCAAAATTTTGCTTGCAAGTTTTTGGCCTTAATCCTCATAGGAATCCTTACGAGTTGACACTAGAGGCAATCAACTTAACATTTACAAACGCTTCCGATACAACCAATAAGATTCATACCTTTCTAGATCAGACAAACGACGAAAACTTACAAGAGATATATAATTATTGTTTGAATTATTATGAATCTTCTATTGATATTTTAAGAGACGTGGAGGATCACTTGTTAAAGCAAGGTATATTTGATACTTTGAGCACTATTGGAGCCTTTGTCCAAGAAGTTGGTTCTTCTTGTGAAGATAGATTTCAAGAAATTGTCGATGATGTTTATGCCTCCACTCTTACTGAGAACAACAATAACATGAGGAATTTTGGTAGTATTATTATTGTTGCTGGAGATCTTCTATCTAATTCAACATCCACAAATAAATAGTATGTAATAAATGTCAAAAGTCATTGAAAGAATGAGAATAAAGGGAGTAATGTTTTTTTTTCTTTTAAAAAAAATCACTTAACCATAATTAATTAATATATATTATTTTCTTATTTAAACACTTATATTATAATAAATTAAATTGGTTTGGTGGACACGAGGCGGGGCGTTTTAGTTATCAAATTTATGAATGAAAATCTTTAGAGTTAAATAAAAAAGGGCAATTCAGTGCACTAGCTTCGGCTATGTGTTGGATCCTGAGAAGAGCCGAACCACAATCTTACCTTACAAATTCTTTTGTGGCTTACTAACCAATTTTTCTTAATTTTTCCTTCAATATTTACAAACTATTCAAAGGATAAAGAATAGGTTAGCCAACAAAGCTAAATAACAGTGACATCATTGTTTAACCCTTTTTCTTTTTTGCTTTCACTTAGCTGTTAGAAAAAAAAATCAAGAAATCAAGATTCTATAAGTTACATAAGCTATGACATTTACATGTATAAAGATCTGCTTTCCAGATACAAAGGGCTAAAATTATTCAGACTTACTTCCTCCACTCCATATTCTATAGTGTTTTTAGCTTGGAGAGAGGTGATTAGATAGGATATTTGTTTTCAAATAGTGGAGACTTTTTTTTTTCCTTCTGTTTTCGGGGACAGGCATGAAAACCACAAAGGCCAGCCATAAGAATTTGGAGAAATCTTAGCAATGTGAAGTTTGTCTGTCACACATTTGATGTTGCAACTTGCCTGCTTTTCCATATGATCGGAGCCACGAGCATCCATACTGGTAAATTTGAGAAATGTCAAAAGCATCACATTATCCAAAATCTTTATAATTATACCATAGTTAACAATATGGAAGCTGAGCAACTTACTGTAAACACAAACTGCAAGCCATTCATTCACTACCCTTACCCAAGTACTTGTCCAACCAACATCTATTGTAAACCTGCAGATTAACAACAAAAAGCACTACACAATAAGCATTTCGTTTACAACTTCTATTGGTTCATTTTTCTTTCTTAAGAAGTAGCAAGCAAGCATTTCAATTTCCTGCCATCAAATGCTCTGATATCTGTTATCATTTCGAGCTGAAACCAGAACATTTTATCGCCCAAATCAAAATTTATATGTTGTCTGAAGATGAAGGAACTTACTTCTTCATGGCGTGATTAGGATTCCATCCAATTAATAGCATTGCAAAATACATAGCTCCTGTCGCAAAGACAAAATGAAAGAATCCATAACCATATGGTACATCATCTTCTTCTGGTGCATCATCCTTCTTGAACTGCAACTTGTTTCTGTTAGAAATTTTTCTCAGGTATATTCGGATTATTATGTAATTGAAAATATACCTGAAAGCATTTTGAATCAATTCCAGTAGAAAATGTTGCGATGACAATTGTGAGGACCGCTACAACAAAGCTCTGTACAAAATTAAGAGTGAAAGCTTACTTAATTACATGCTGAAAAAGGGATATATTAATTCTAGTATTCTACTACACCACTATATATTATAAAGTCAAGACTCTAATAAGAATCTTAGCAGCACATGAGATACTTCCCCTAGATTATATAGCATTTGAATCTAAAGGCTGGATAAAGCTTGTCCAAATTATTAGAACAATAGAATAATACTAGAACTGAACTGAACCTTTGCCAATTTTTACTCAAGATTGACAAACTAGCAAGACATAATGCTACATGTTTAATGACTCAACGAACATCTTGAGTCATTTAGAGGTTGGAAACTTACTATGATGGTGAACCAGTCTCCTTTTCCAGTTGGCGATTCTGCTTTCCGGATGCATCTCTCTTCTGCAGGTTCACTGTAAGTAGATACAAGAAATTTATAAGAAATAATAGCATAATGTGATGAAACCATAGATACCTAATTGTGTATTGGCATTCTCTCAAGTGGAAGCTTGAACCAAACAGAGGGACATCCTCAAAGAAATGAAACTTATAATATGAAAACTTAACTTGTGACAAGTTTAAGTCATCTACTTTCTATAAGTTTGAGAATATACCAAGATATGCCAGTTCTTACTTCAGGTTCTTCGGAGCACAGCTTCTCACTCAACAAATGACATTACTTATAGAAATTGATATTCCTAAAAGGCTCAAGTGATGATAGATAACGAATGCTCAAGAAACTATGGTGTAGTGCTTAGCCTCAAATTTGTGCCTTTTCTTTTTTGCACTCTTAATGAATTAAAAGAGAAGGACACAAGGTTTATGAAAAAAAAATCCAAATCATACCTTCTGATGGCAGACCAGCAGAGGAACACCACATATAGCCCCATAAAACCTGGAGTCAGGAATCCGGCATTCACCTGGTGCTTTCATCAATTAATATAAATTATCCCAACAAAAAAATGTAAACACAAGATACTCAGACTCACTTTGGGGTGGAGAGAAACACTGGTCATGAGTTGGAGGAGTACTAATGTCCAGGAGATGAAGAAGATATTAAGAAGGCACGATGGTTGAGGCGTATACCAAATGTACATTAAGATGATCCCGAGGATGCATATAACATATGCAACTGTTGCAAGTAACATCATTTGGACGTGGCTGCAAAATGGTTTTATTTCCATTAGCACTAATCATCAACCGTTTTAAACCTTCATAAGAATCACATAAAATGTAACATCACTGAAATGTACTGCATGTTCTTTTTGGATCTGAACTTTAGCCTTTAAATAATAATTCTGATTTTAGCAAGCAGAAGTTTTTTATTTATAATAGAATATAGCGCCTGAACCAGTTATTCAAATGAGTTGATAGCATCATAGTGCACATAATTTCCTAAAATCTTGTCTGAAATACATCCCCATGCATAAGATCAAGGTTTGCTATCCTTGATCAAAACTTATGTAAAAAGAGGGACTAAGCCAATTACCATCTCACAGCATATTTCTCAGAATGACAGAAATCGTTGAGCCATGTGATAAAACTGATTATACTTATAAGCTGGATTAGTAAAAATACCCTGCAAATGGATCAGAAACAGAATCAACGTGAGGGTATGACTAACTGTGAATTACCTAAGATGTTATGCTTAATTTTAACATCAAAAGCCAACACTAAAGTGATTGTGCATGACGAAAAAGAAGCATGCTAGATGAGTTTGTCATACCCAGCACCAAAATGCGCAACCTGGCCTGTCCAGAAAACACAACATCATTCAGCAATTTATCATATATTGATAAAACTACATATGACTGACTTGTTAAATCTGAAGTATTTGAATGAAGACACTACAATAGTATGCATCTATACTAACCATAGATTGAAATAATCTCTGCTGGAAGAAGAAAGGGTAGTACAATTAGAGAAATATTCATGAAAAGCTTGGCAGACCACCATCCTGAGTGCCATAATTCTCTGCGGTCATTTAATTTCGAAGTACCAGCTGTAGATAGGAACATGGCGAAATAGAATAGCTATAATGATCATGTTAAGGATTGACTGAGAAAATCAATAATTTCATCATTGAGCTGCATGCCCATACAAAGCCATAAAAGTCTCAACTTATTACTATCATTCAGTAAATTTTACGACTGACTGTAAACTAGCTAACTTGAATCAAATGGGATTAGAGAGGTAGGATACAGAACACCCCAAGCTTACTCTCAATACTCCTTCTGCACCCATACAGTCTTCACCACCATTACATCCTTTAAGTCCTACAGAGATAGATATATACATCGTTAGAATTGTGTACTACAGATGTAGCACTAGAAATAGGAATCTATGGCAAAAATAAAGAATGAAACAATCTTACTCTTCATTTCTTTCAAAATGCTATGGCCATAATCACGAACAGCCCAAGCTAATAAATTAGCAATGAGAAACAATATGGCGTAAAGATATCTAGCCATCCAAGGATTAGAGCCATGTCGAAATTGGTCTAACCAGGAACCGTGCTTGATCTTGCTATATCTCTCAATAGTTCTTCCCTCCATTTCTTCTTTAGAGCCTTCACCTGTTGTCATGGCATTAAAGTAGCAATGCAGGGGAAGTTGAATTCTTCAATTCCTCTACCACCTCCCCATCTGCAAAAGCAAAAAAGGGAATCTTAGTAGCTCAGTTGATTGGCTATCTGAACTCTCACTTTGTTCGTAAGAGCTCGATACCCCACCTTGTAATCCCCTACCTCAATTCCCTTTCGGAAAAAAAAAACAAAAAGGCTAGGATGTAGTGATCCAACTGAATTGGAATGGAATATAAGAAAGATTGATGTGAAATGCATGAACCAGATCCTGATTCTAAAGTTGTGAATAGGAAGCAAAGAAACTATTACAAAATTACTTTTATTAAAAATGAATTTTAGTACCATCACAACAACAAAGGTTTATTAAGCACGGCTTAACCAAGTTCCTGTATCTTTTTGAACAACTATATCGGCTGTAATGGACCATTAACAATACTTTAAGTTTGGTAAATCAAAGTTATGTTGGTCAAATTTGTCTGCTAAAAAGCATCCTAGAACTACTTTCTATGTGAAATGATGGTCCAGTAAGAACTACTCCAATCATTTTAGTAATTTGTTGGTATGAAATAACTTTGCACGGAATTTAAGAAAACAAAAAAAAGCATTTTTGATATGTATAACGTACCAAAATGTCATTCAAAAGAAATATGTATTTTTTTAAAAACAAGCAAATTGAAACGGAGGAATTAAATAAACCATTCCTTCCTGATAAGTGAGATCTTTCGTAAATCAATAGCAAAGTGAAGGTTGGCATCAATACGAAACGAATAAAAAGGCAGATCGAATTATTGAAATTATTCTGCCTTTCCATCCAAGAGATAAACAAAAAAATATTAAAATTAGACCATAAAAACACGTGCAACTCACGTGATAATTCCATTATATTGTTTTCTGTTTTCTGTTTTAGTTTTCCAAGAAAGAAGTTGCTTGTGTTAACAGCAAAGAATCTGCAAAAGAGCTCCTCCATTTTGAAACACATTTTCTTCTTCCTATCTATGCAAAATTGCCTCTCAATACATACAAATAATACAATAGTATAAATAACTGCAACTTTCTATCACAATTACATACCCGTAACAGATCGAGAATCGCACGCGTTTGAAGCTGAAAATGCAGTTGATTCCAAATTAAAGTGTTGTTGCTAAACTTAATTTGAATGAAGAAGAAGACAATGTGTAACTTATTTTCTGTATTTTATAAAGAAGAAAGTTTGGTTTTTGGTTTTGATGGGAAACTTTTAAGACTCATTTTAGAAGAAGAGTAAACTAGAATAAAGTACTACTCCATTACTTGATCCTAATTTAGTGGAAGTGGACCCTACACATGCTTCGGCGCATGCCAATTGAGCATGCCTTTCCTAAATAAATACTAATCTCATTTTTTTATCTCCCTAATTTAGATTAATTAAATATTCAAAATTATACTAAAATGTGAATCTTTAAAAACGAAAGGTACTAATACAAACATGAAAAATATTTTATGTCGTCATAAGTAATGATTCATGTGTGGGAGATTAACAGCTTTATAGCTTTTAGTTAGTACTAAAATATAAATAGCCTACTTTCCTATTTGGTAGGTTTATATTATCTAGAATATTAAAGACTAAACTCGCAGTTTTGGAAGCATAATGATTAGCTTGGTGATCATTTTGATTGCAACTTTAGATTTTACCTCAAGAAATGTAAGGGATTATTGATTTCTAGCTTAACTTAGACATGCCACTAAGTTGGAGTAAAACTAGTAAAATGTGAAACGTTTTAATCTTTAGATCGAAATGAAAAGTGTAAAGAGAATTCTTTTAACATATATAAATATTAGAGATTATACGAACAGTTCACCATCTACATAATGAGAGAACAGAAACTGAATGTGTACTTCAACACGCTGGACTTGTCTAATGAAGTTTAAGTCTTCCGTGTGGTTTACAAGCTATTGCACAAGAGCGAATTTACCCAGAATGCACCTGAAGGGGGCAGCAGGGTTTCCGGTAATTTCCAACAAAAAAACATCACAAGTAAAGCATTGAATTGTATATTCATGTTACTATTACATCTTGTATAGAATCACCTTAATAAATAATAATCACTTCCCTAAACTACAAAAAATTGGCAAATATTTTCCATTTTGGGATGCATCGACCATGGTACACCGCAAGGCTGCGGACTCAAGGATAGCAAACTATCCAGTGTTTGACCAAACACATTAAAGTCGCACCTCATAGCAAGCTGATTACAACAAGTCACCACTGATGCTGCAAAGTCGCCACTAAATGATATGTAGCCCAGTTTGACAGTCAACCATGCTCTCAGTTCTTCCAGCAAGATTGGCCCAATTATCCGGGTATATAAAACTGTTTCAGGACTAAGTATCCCTGCGGCTTTTCTTATTCATCTTATCCTGCACACGGTACTTTTCTCGTCTCTCTTCTCTTTGTCGCTTCTTTGAGAGTTGCTCTTCCTTGGACCTTTCCGTTTCAAGTGCTTTCTTCTTCTCTTCATCTTTGAGCTTGCGTGTTTTTATCTGAAAAATGCATTTAAAACAAAAGTGACCATACTATTCATATCCAAACAGATACTAAGCTTTGACAATCAGTAAAATTATGGCACCGTCACTTAAGGATGAATTATCCAAATAACTCTTTTAAGAGCTTGTAGCTAGTACTAATGGGCAAGTGACCACAACCTACAGCCAGGAAAGTACTAGTAGTAAAACCAAGTCTTAACTGCTCCTGTAGGAGAGAGCATACCTTCTCGTGCTGAATGAGTCCAAGTTTTTGAATATTAGCAAGCACTTTGCGCTCATGAGGTTCCATCACCACAGCCCTCCGATCTTCCAGGAGTGGTCGCTTCCGAGCTGGAGCATCCTTGGGCTTAGAGGCAAAGGGGAGACCTTTCTGTAATTGCTTGGGAATTACCAAGGGGTTGAACTTTTTCCGCTTTCGTTCAATTGGCTGTGGCATCAAACAACATAACAAGCAAAGCGGCGTCTGTCAGCAGGAAGAAAAAAACGCAACAGAAAGACTTTGAATGTAATAATTAAGTTATTAACAAACATGTGAAATAACATGTTTCACCTTATATAATGAATCCTTGTTGACAGGCACTGGTAGATTATGTTCTCTCCTTAATTCAGCAACTGTTTTCATTCCTCGCCAAGTTTGATCACGTGGCTGTAATGCTGTTGTCAATGGATTGTAGAAGGAAGGAACTTCAACTTGAGTCCAAGCACGCAAGAAAACAATGTCACTCATAAGAATCTTATCCTCAAATGTGCATCTAGCAATGCCTTCTTTGGCACTCCCACCCTTCTTCTTGGGTTGGTTACCAATCTCTTCTTTAGCAGCCTAAGATTAACACCAACAACAGAAGTAGGGAAATGAATTAGGAAACGAGTAAAACCATTCCAAAACATAGAGAACTGCTTCTACTACATCTTCACAACTTTCTATGGTAGAATCACTTTGCAACATGTACAACCTTTGGATCATCCTCCAAACAACGAGACAAATACTGTTAAGAAAATGTCAAGTCTAGCTACAATTAACAAGAACCACAAACTAGTGTCCATGGATAACCCATAGGTATGGTGAGAAGAGAGTCAGAGGAAACCCCGAATAACGAGCACAAGCAGGCAGGCAGGCATGGATGAAGACCCCTTCCCCAACCCCCCAGTGCACATGCACCTTTTTCTTTTTAAAGAACTCATCTTTGTTGTGTGTAAGTGCATGCTTTGCTAGAACATTAAAATATTAAATATCTTATGGTCAACAAATCATCTTTGTAGTGTGTAAATGCATGCTTTGTTAGAAAATTAAAATACTAAATATGTTATGCTTAACAAATCAACGCCGCGTAACTTTTCTATTCTTTCTACAGATGTGGTCAGAATCTCAAAAATAACATCTCATACTGTTTATCCCTCTGATCAAATGTAGTTGAATACCACCAGCATGCAATTTTTAAAAATTGCGTTGATCCCAGAAAATTAGTATAATTATTTAATCTTGGATTGATTGATGGTGGTTTAATATTTAGAGAAAAAGAGGGAATGAACATGAGAAGTCAGTATCTAGATGAAGTGACAAGAAACTATCTTCTTCCCGACTTGATTATATTGTCTAAAGTCCTGTCAATTTACAGTCAAGCACAAGTATCCCTAACTAGAAAACCAGGAAGCGAAGTGAGACAGCAGTTAAATGATACCCAAAGTGGTAAACTACCTTTTTCACTTGCCCACGAATTCCACTAACAGTTCGAATAGCTGCACCTTCAAACCTAGCTATTTCAAGATCTGAAGTGAACATGTCCTTGATAAGTGCTGTCTTCTTGAATATTTTACATGGGTGACCAACTAACTTAATCTTTTTGACTATTCTTGCTGCATGGTTGAACTCTAGCACAGTTGCAGTTGCAGTGATTCTAAAGGATGCCTGTAAAAATATAAAGACAGACAAAGGTAGAACAATCAGCACAGAGGCAGGATCAGAAATCCAAGTACAAAGAAGAAGAAAACAGTGTAGAAAGAATATAGCAACTAACAAGGGAAGCAATGCAAAAGGCTACAAGAACAACAAAATAGTGCGATTATATCAACACAATAAATATCAAAACAGGAACTACAATAATATGGCCAGTACAAAAATAAACACCAACAAGCCTAAACCATCAAAAAGCAAAACAATCCTCCACGCCCTCCTATCTAAGGTCATGTCTTGGGTAACCTTAGAGTTGTGTCATGTTCTGTCTTCTCTCCCAAATACTTCTTCGATCTACCTCTACCTCTCTTCGTGCCTACTATAACCAACTTCTCACCTCCTCACTAGGGTGTCTGCGCATCTCCTCTTCAAATATCCAAACCATCTTAATCTCACTTCTCTTATCTTGTCCACCCGGAGGCCACTCTCACCTTATCCCGAATATCCTAATTCCTAATATTATCGCTTCTTATATGTCCACACATCTTTTGAACATGGGAGTTCTTGACTAGCCAGCCAACACTCCGTACTCCGCCTCATACAACAAAATCAGTCTAACCATCACTCTATAAAACTTACCTTTAAGTTTCAGTGCTACATTGTTATCACCAACAAACTCTAGATGCAAGCTTCCACTTCATCCACGCCGCACCAATACGATGTGTGATATTAGGGCTGCGTATCACTCGGTTCGGTTCGGTTTTGAAGTTTATCGGTTTGGCTTATTAATTATCAATTTGTAGAGATGCTAAACCGTAGAACCATTAAGATATTGGCTTATCGGTTTTTGGTTTATCGGTTTTTTATCGTTAAGATTTGACACAAAAAAAAACATTAAAAATCACTTAGAAACAAGGTGACAAACCAAATAAACCATGCACATGAGTTCACAAGTTACATCTTGCTCAAAAGCAAACATTTTTACATTGTAGAATAACCAAGTATTTGAGACAACAGAAACTAAAGTAGGAAACCAAACTCTAAGTCAAGGACTTTATATACAAAATGGTATAGATATAATTATTTAATTTACTATCGGGTTATCGGTTAACTCGTTAAGAAAAACTTCAAACCGTTAAGTAACGATAATCCGATAACAAAAAAAAATCAAAACCGTTATCAAAACCGATAAACCAATAACCCAATACTGATAAACCAATAACTTGTTTTCGGTTCGGGTTATCGGTTTCGATTCGATTTTGAACATCCCTATGTGATATCATTGTCGATGTCCCCATTTCACTAGATTATAGGCTCAAGCTGCTTGAAACTATCTTTCTTAGGGATAGCATGTGTATCAAGCCTCACTTCAAGCCTGCCTCTTGCATTGTATTACTGAATTTGCACTCCAAATGCTCTGTTTGGTCTTGCTTAACCTGAACGCTTGAGACTCTAGAGTTTGTCTCCATACATCCAACCTAGCATTAACTTCACTGCGCATTTCATCAATCAGTACTATGTCATCCGCAAACAACATATACCAAGGCACCTAATCTTGAATGAACCGCGTCAATTCATATGGTAATAGTAGTTAACAATTGTGGCTGAACAGATAATTATGGTGATGGTTGGCATTATATAGTGGTGACGAATGGTGGTAATTGTTGTGGTAATGGTGATTGGTGGTGATGATTGCAAGTGTTGGTGACAGTTGATTGTAGAGATTGGTAGTGATGTTGTGGGTTAGGATGGTG